GCCTAGATCAGCCCGACACCACCGCCCGTTTCAATGTTTCGAAGCACAGGCGCTACCAGGTAATTTGTGGCGGGCGGTCGTCAGTGGCGGAGGAGTCCGGAATCGTAAAATGCTTTTGATCAACATCATCATCATCATCATCAGCCACAGCTCGTTCGTTTGTAGGTGCCCATGCATACAATTCAGCAATCCACAGCACTAACTCCCCATCAGAAGGGGGCAACTAAAAGCAGTGTTCGGCCGGTGGCATGGCGGCACACCGCAAAGAAGCGCAAATTATCCATTCAGTTTGCCCATCAGAGCGTGAAAACGTTTTGGCGCATCGCACATACATAACTACATGACTAATGCTAAACTTAACGATTTAGAGTCGAAGAAGTGCTGCTGGGTGGAGAGGGTGGACGTGCGTGATGGTTATCTGGGCGGATCGTGTCGTGATCAATTGGAGATTACTTGTGTTTGTTTACTTATGCTCGCTTATTGATTCATAAACCTTGATACATTTTGTGATTTATGTAAACTGTGGATAAATTTAAAAGCATGGTGCATTATTGTTCAATTGATGCTTCTAAATTGTGAGCAGTTATAAATTCGTTCATGAATAATGAATAACATGAACTAGCAACTTGTTTTCTCATCAAAATAAAACGAATCAAACCAGGAATCCATTGCTTATCAATGCACAGTGTCTACGTGTGTCTACGCACCCGCTCATGTCAATCTTCGTGTCGAGACAAGGGACAAACGATTTGACGCAACATCGTCTGTCTGTCACTATCAGTAGCAGCATATAAAACCGGCAGTAACTTTCCCGAAGAGCGAGCAGGTTCCTGAATCTGATCGTCTCGATTTTTTTTTGTGCGTGCCCATGATGTCTACCGCCCATAATCGTTTGCTTTCGATCTAAATTTTTCTGATGTTGTTTTAATTTCTTCGCATAACCACATATCGTGACACACATATCAGCAGCAGCAGGTGCTACAATTTACTGCTCATCATCATCAGCATCATTATCATCGTCGCAGCCGCTGTCGACATCTTCGTTCTTCTGTTTATGCTCGTATTACGTGTGCATAAATTCGGTTCGTTTTGATACGTCCCTCAACATGTCAGGTAAGGGTTCACGATGTGTTTTTCTTCTTCTTCTTCTTCTTTCTTTAGATCATCTAAGCCGTGAAAGAAGTTTCGTTACACTAGCATGGAAGATCACTCCCTCGTGTGGCATCCGTTGGGGATGTGGGTATGAAGGTGCTTAGAGGTATGCCCGGTTCTTATTTAATTTCACCACCGGCAACAATGGAAGCGAGAACAGGTCGAGCCTCTAGCGTTGAATTGAATAAATTGGTCCCGGAGGCACTGGAGGAATGGTGGCTCAGTACCTACTACCGTGGGGAGATACGATCGGTAGGTGGTAGTTTGGAACGAATAATAGATAAGAAATCACACGAGATACCAATTTAATGCTCATCTCGAGTCTAAACATAAAAAAGCATTCGGCATGAAGATTTGATTGCTAAATTGAAAAATTTTAGTTTTCCATTATATATTATTGAATTAGTTCAAAATTATGTAACTGACATAACTCTGCAGGTAAATTATCGAAATTCTAAATTTGAATGACTACCTGTTAGAGCAGGAGTTCCTCAGGGTAGCATTCTTGGGCCTATATTGCATACTATTTTCACTTCGGACCTCCCTGATTTGCCTCAGGGTTGCCACAAATCTTTGTTCACTGATGACACAGGCATTTCCGTTAAAGGAAGAAGTCTTCGTTTTATTTGCAGCAGATTGCAGAAAAGTTTAGGTATTATTTACAAAAATGGAAGATTTCTCCGAACGCTCCCAAAACTCAACTAGCATAGCATAGTATAGCATAAACCAGGTTGCACAATGTCGTAGGTGGTACGAGCTCTAAACTGTTGTTAAGAAGGAGGCGCATCCTCATCCGTTGCTGTTAGATAGTAATTTGTGATTAATTACTACCTCTTAGATAAAGGATGTGTTTCCCTCCAACAGACCAGAGCTGTCCTGGCCACGTCCTTGCATCTGGTGGGGATGGGGGAGGAATGTTAGTCCGAAACTTACTTAAGAGAGATGCAGAGAACTCTACGACCCCTCATAAGTGTCACAGGAAGGGTGGAATTTTGTTAGTAGGGAGGGTAAGCCATAGGATACGCCCAGCCGGCGTTGCTGGCAATCGTTATATCAAGTATTTAAGAAATAAAACCTGTAAATCATTTATCCGTTGACCGTTGTTGCTGCCCATTACCTAAACATATTATTCAAAACAGTCTTCATATTCCGGAATTGCGATACGTTAACACTCGATCCTGTTGCTCCTTTGGCCCAAAAATTCGGTTGTTCCTAAACCTATGCACTATCCATTCTGATCGATAAGATGTTCTCATGTGTAAAATGTTGTTTATAATGTGTGAAATCATAGTTTGGAATGAGTATTCGTCCATGGTTTTTTCAGTGTTGTGAGAATGAGTATGCTGATACTGTGAATATGTTTAACGGGTTTCTTTTTATTTTTTGAATGGTGAGGGGAAAAGCCCGCGGGAGTGTATTTTTTCTCCCGTAGGCACAAAACCTTCACGTCTTTTCAGATTGTCAATAATAACACATTCAAACATTTTAAAATACAATAACAATAAATCAGATAGTTAGCTCAATAAAAATAAATTCAACTAGAAAAATCTGGAAAAAAAAATAAATTTAGGCAAGATACTATTGATAATCCACTTTCATGCAACAGGTGCTGCATTGCCTCTTGTCCATCCTGACTTCCTGCGTTCTGAAAGACAAAAAAATACATATTCTAAGTATCAGCTGAGATTATCAACAGCTTAAGAATCATAAGCCTTTGTAGAAATAAGTTTCTCCATCGTTGAAATGCCATTGTTATCAGGATTAGCTGTAATAGAATGATTAAGAGAATTTCACAAGGATATCCGGATACAAGGATATATCTATATATAGCATCTAACGTGAATGAAAATGGTTTATGCTGGGAGAGCATGGACAAAAATTAAGAATTACAAAGTCAGAATATAGCTATGTTCGGGATATCCTCACTATTATACAACTTACCTGCTACATACAACATATCTACCACGTATACCTACATATTAATATTTATGTTTTATAGCTTATGAGCTATTGTAGTTAATCTAATGAGTTATGGTAGTTAAGTTATGACTAAATATTATCTTAAAATAAAAAATAAAAAAGAAAAATCCAACAAAATTATACACTAACTGAATAGTGCTGATAACATATTACCACGATACGGTACTAACATAATTACTTACGGCACTAAAAACAATAAATAAAAAAAATTAAAAAAAAAACTTTCAACTAAGTACTAATGTAAACTAATTACAAGGTACTAACATAATTTACTTACTTATTATTATTGCTACTTTCAACTAAATACTAATTTTAACTAATTACAAGGAAAATGAATCATCCAGGTGGCTTCCGCAATACCAAGCTTGCTGAAAAATAATAAGATGATGACTGGGGATTAGTTTATGAATGTAGGTATATATTCACATTGACATTGACAGTGACAGATCCGGTGCTTGGCAGCCACTTCCGAGTATTATCGATGACATTGACAGAAACCTTCTTTCCTCGCTTTCCACGCCCTAAAGATAATCAATCTCGTTTCATGCATCTACATTTTGTAAAATGCGTGTCTTGTACTTAAATTACAACCATTCGTCAATGAGAGTTCTTCACCAAATTTCTCCTGACTCACTTTAGTACGTATGTTCCTTAACCACTACTCCTCCTGGCTCAAGTATGTCTCGAAATTGATCCATTTAGATTTCTAGTCTTCGTCTGAGGCTGATTCTGGTAATTTATGTAGCTCCTGTATTGTCTTTTCAAATTCCTCCCTACTTTCTACGATGCTATACCAATCATCCACAGACATATTTTCAAATCTCCACATGTTCTGGGCTATGGTATCCCACCAGGTGAATGCAGGTCTGCCGCGCTTCTTATAAGGCAATCTGTACTCAGCAGCTAGTTTTAAAAGGTGATTATCAGGTCTACGAACTATGCGTCCCCAATATCTCAGCTGACCGATTTTGGTTCGCAAGTGGAGTTAGTGCCTGTCTCGGGTTTGCAGAGTGCCTTTATCTGCCCATCTATTTGCTTCTGATACCTCCTGAGGGACTTTCTTGACCTCTTTGTAAGTACTGTGGCTTGAGTACCATACACCATAGTTGGTGCAATAACCGTCTCGAATAGTATCGTGCCCATTTTCATTGTTGGTATTCTCTGCTTTAGGAAATCTAGTATGATTTTTGAGGCAATAACTGCATCTCTTGAGCGCTTTCGGGTGGTTAAATTCCGGTGAAGTCGATCCGTGATCGGTACTCCAAGGTAAAATAACGAAGATGTTGCTTTGTAAACATGCCCAGCAATAACTAATTCTGAGGGTGATATTCCTACAGGTGATCTTATCATTACTTGACATTTTTGCTCATTTAACTTTAAGTTGACTTCTCCCAAGTAGTCGCTCCCAAAACTCAACTTCACGCATAAAGGGTGTCCACGATGAAATTGCCACACTATGAAATTGCTCTAACTTTTTAACCGTTGGGTAGAATTTAATGAAAATTTGGGTGGATTTAGTTCATAGTGCATTATTTACATCCTGCAAGTTTTAAAGTCCTGTGATCAAAACTCGCGGAAATGGAGTCGAAAGAACAGCTCGTGCGTGATAAAATCTTGCGCATTCATCACGAGAACAAGGATCTCTCGCATCGTTCCATCGCTAAAACGTTGGGAATCGCGAATTTCACGGTGTCGCGAGTGATTAAGCGGTTCGAGGAACGGTTGACCACCGATCGGAAGCCCAGAAGTGAAGTATTCCGTACAACACCAAAAATCACAACCGCGTAGTTGGGGCCTTCAACCGAAATCCGAACGCCTCCGTTAGGGATGTGGCTAAGAAGCTGCACCTAAGCCGAAGTTTTGTCCAGAAGGCCAAAACTAAGGCTGGGCTTCGAACGTTCAAGGTACAAAAGGCCCCTAATCGCGACGAGAAGCAGAACAAGTCCGCCAAAATCCGTGCCAGGAAGTTGTACCTCAACATGCTGACGAAAGTTGAATGCTGCATCATGGACGACGAAACATATGTGAAGGCCGACTTCAAACAGATCCCCGGCAACCTGTTTTTCACGGCCAAGGATAAGTTCAGCGTTCCGGAGCATGTCCGCACTCAGAAGATGTCCAAATTTGCGAAGAAATTCCTGGTTTGGCAAGCCATCTGCACGTGCGGGAAGCGGAGTGCACCTTTCGTGACCCAGGACACGATGAACGGACAGGTGTACATAAAAGAGTGCCTCCAGAAGCGGCTGCTTCCTCTCCTGAAGGCCCACAACGTCCCAACAATCTTCTGGCCGGATTTGGCCTCATGCCACTACTCCAAGGACGTGCTGAAGTGGTATGCGGACAATAAGGTCAATTTCGTGCCGAAAATGTTCAACCCTCCCAACACTCCGGAGCTCCGCCCCATCGAGAAGTACTGGGCGATTATGAAGCAGCACCTTCTTAAACGACCTAAGGTAGTGAAGACAGTCGAGGAACTGAAGAAAGTATGGGTTTACATGCAAAAAACGGTTGATTCACAGGTTGTGCAGAATCTTATGGCCGGGGTTAAGGCCAAGGTGCGGGCATTTGCGTATGGACTGTAAATAAAATACGAGTAAAATGGTAAAATGAAGTTTAATAGTTATTTCTCAATCCCTGAAAATTTGATGGCAATCGGATGAAAACTCGAATTTTGCGAATCAATTTTGTGTGTGGCAATTTCATCGTGGACACCTTTTAATGAAGAGCTTTGAGTGTTGTTGGTTTATTTCCTTTTTATTTCGTTATAATTACTTATCTTTTGACAGATATGCGTATTTCGTCTACTACTTGTAGACTCCATCAGTGCCAAGTACTCAACACCACTGATACTTGGCACTAAAGAAGTCAGCAAGTAGTAGACAAAATATGCGTATCTATCAAAAGATAAGCAATTATAACGGAATTAAAAGGAAATAAACCAACACGCTCAAAGCTCTTCATAAATCGATCCCGCTAAGAGGTTCGACAAACTTAAAAGGTTCACACATAAGCCTAGACCTTCTTTTTTGAAACCTAGTAGTAGTCACATAGTTACTATGTGACTGCTTCGTCAAGTCAAGTGAAATATCCTGGATAAGTACTAAACTAAAAATTTACTTTTAAAGATCACATTGTTTTTCATCAAGATTGTATACAATTTACTGCAAAGTTTCATGCAAATCGGAGAAGGTCGCATCAGATCGATTGGTAATTTGAATCCGAAGAAAGACGTAATCAGAGATGTTATGCCTCAGAACATCCCGGCGGCGTAGACTGGGATTGAACCCAGGCCTGCTGGGGTGAGAGGCAATCACGCTTACCCGATTGAATTTTAGGAGAATTTTAAATTAATTCTACTGTTTATCCATGAGAAAAGTTGAAGAGAATTACTACACAATTCCGGCAATTATCCTGAGGGAGTTCTGACCAAGATTTCAAGATAATTCTGATCCAGAGATGAATTCCAAGAAATTTTCGGGGAGATGAAAACAAGTTCTAAATTGAGGTGAGTTGTTGCCGGATTCTCAGTTTCTGTTTAGGGAAAGAGCTGTTGCGTTTGTTGGGAAGGATGGTGAAAACTATAGATACTATAGATTCCATAGATAAGCGGAGGTACAAAAAGTTGTTTTGGCAACCATGAAAAATAAATGATCTTACTGGCATCCGTGAAAAAAGTTCATGCCATCATAGAGCTCTTCGTTGTGCGGTTTTGTTTTGTTTCGTGCGTTAAAGTTCAAAATGAAGTGCAACGCAAATCATTGCAACAATGTATCGAGAAATGGTTTACTTTATCTTTCCTTCTTCCGTTATCCGCGAAATAAATCGGAATGTGGAGTATTGAAAGCGTTTTGTGCTCATAATATTACAATACTTCTCCCTCAAACAACACCATGATGACGTCATGCTCGTTTGGCTGCACTAACTGACAGTTCGTTTGGCTACATTATACTTCGCCTCCGCTTATCTATGGAATCTAGGTATCTATAGTGAAAACTAGCGGTGCCGGTGCGCGGTGGTGTACTGGTAGGCGTCATCAGTGCTGAGATTTGTCGTTGTCACTGACAGACTTTCGCGCGATATTGACTAAATTGTTCGTCACATAGTCACTGACAGACTTGATCCTCAAAAAAACCTTCGTCAAAATCTCATTAATTTTTTCGTCAATGGCAAAGATTCACCTAGTAACAAAAGTGTAATTTAGTACATTCTGTGGCACATTATTGTTATCCAAGTAGCTCTGGACGTAGATACTTTTATTCACTAAAATGGATCCATGAAATTGTTTTGCTCAAGTCATTTAATTTCGTAACATATTTAGCTAATAAATAAATCTGCACATGTTCGTCACTGACAGCATTGTCATTGACAATTTACATGGTTTGCCTTGACTATGACTGCTGGCTCCAATGAGTGACCAAAGCAGAATTGTCAATATCACCGTGTACTGTCAAGATTTTGCAGCACTGGGCGTGATTATCTCTCACCCCAGCAGGCCTGGGTTTAATCCCAATCGGTGCCACCGGGATGTTCTGAGGCAAACATCTCTGATCACACCTTCCTTCGGAAGGGAAGTAAAACCGTTGGTCCCCGGTTCATGAGTTGATGGATCGATAGGTTGGATTCAGGTGTGGGAGCTGCCTCCCTGACGTCGGTAGCATTGGTGCTCAGCACGGAAAACAAGAGCGAAGGAAAACAAATTAAGGAAAAAAAATATGGTGAAAAGTTTTGGTATTTCTTCTCCAGTTTTCTTCCGGTTTCTGCAATGGGAAAGACTAGTCAGGAGACGATCGATGTGCAAATACACAAAGTACCCCGTGGCGAGCTGTGAGTGATGAGACGTCGATAGGGCTACCTGACAAGTTTTTTAATCGGATACATTCATCATTTTGCCTACTCAGGAAAAAAATAAATTTTAATACTACCTCCAAGAGGATGCACTTCAATCACGTCGAAAATCTCATGTTATTTTTATAGCCACAAAAATAAACAAGTGCAGTAAAAGCAGCGTAATGTCAGTTCATGCACTAATGATAATTTTGTCCTTTTTGGCAAGTAATACTACACCATATTTTCATCACGATTGAAACGCATCCACGTTTATGTGACATTAAAATTATTGTTTTGCTGTGTACGGATTTTTTCAGTGCAGTGAAAGGATAAGAAACGATCCACTATTTTTCTTCGACATTTGCTTATGGGATTTTCAATAAGAGTGAACAGTTGCAGAGTCGTCGTCAACGCGAATGGTTTCACCGATACCAAAACAAATTTATCAAAAAAATATAGTAGGCATCAAGTATAGCATCAAAACTACGTCCCTAATGTTTGGTCCATAGTTTTAAAGTGCCAAAAGCGTTAAATCTTCTAAATTTGCAGTAATAGTGAAAATTGCGAGGGGGTGCAACATCTAAAATTCCATTTAGATTACGGACGATGTGCATCTGATTTTTTAGTTCAGTGTACTTTTGTTGGATTTAATTTCGTACCCTTCGCTGGTATCTACTTTCTCGATGCTACAGTAGATTGAAGTCGATGAAAATAGCTGCAAACACTATGGATAGGATTCCTAGTAAAAAGTAGACTTGCGAGTATTTATTTTTTCATTTGGTTCAAAACGCGGTGGTTCACGTAGTATGCGAGGCTGCCGAAGTAAATAGTTTTTTGACGTAGGATTACGTCTTTCGGCAACATATTGGGGGTGCAATTTAAAAAAAAAACCAAAACCGACCGCGTTACAAAAAGTGGTCAGGTTTTGACCACTTATAACTCTGTCAATAGCGGATGGATTTTAATTCTAAACAAGCCAATCGATTGGTAATTTTTCTTCAAAGCTTTTAAAATGAATACTTTATCAATTTTTAATAGGTCACTATTGAAAATTACACAAATGTCCAACTGTTGCAATGATGATCAAAATCGTCTCCGATTGCCTGCAAATAGTGGTTTCCCTAACATAGTCGCCAAATAATGATACCGAGCACGTAATCCTACGCCAAATCTACGGTCGAGTCTTGGATACAACCTCTTACTTTTAAATTGACGCCAGAGTTGTAAATTTTCCTGTTTATCATTGCAGCAAATTCTTTATGTAGATGTTGCAGCGACTATGGGAGCCAATTGAGAAGCCATCATCTGGAAACCGATTCAGCGCATTCTCATATCGGAAACGAATTATCAACATCAACTTTGTCCGTACGATCACCACGGTAAAGATGGTGGAAATGTTCTTTCTCCATGTCAACGTTGCTTTTACATGTAAATCAACAACTACGAAAGACTTCCGTTCAAGGAGAATATACTGAAGAAACGTCTGACCTAAAACATGAAGGGAGCGGACTTCATTGATGACTACGATTGAAATCATGGTCTTTCCGTAACTTCCGTAAGTTCATTCTTACTCTTCGTCTTTTTTTAACCGGTACCTTCAATCATCCGTATATCTTCAAAGTCGACGAAAATAACAACTTCCTGGCCCAAATAGAAGTCAACAAAAACTACGACTTTCCTATCCTACCACCTCCGAAGTTGCGTCATTTTTGGATTCAAGCAGGATTTGCAATTAAATATTAACGACCGACGAGTGTCACAAAAGTGTCAGGTAAATTTATTTTCGTTACCGTTTTTGTCGTATTGATTTATAGTGCATTTAATTTTAGAAATAATCCCCTGTAACACCATCTGAAGACTTAGGACTCAGGGCACAAACATGAAAGAAAAGAATAAGACCGATTTATTTGCAGACGAAACCCACCCAAGACGAAACATATGCCGACACATATAAGACATTCCAATCCCGAACACAAAGTTTGTATTAACAGTAGTTGCATGACTGACGTTCAGAACTCCAACCAGCAGGCGGTACTAACCGATATCGAAGGTAATTCCGAGTGGAGCTGGTTTACGACTAACGAAGTTAGAACCATTACGACAAGCTCGATGATTAGGGGTTTTAGAAGCTTTAAAACCAAAACAAGTAGCACAACTCCAAAATTCCGGCAGAGTGGAAGACATGGGAAAGTTCATCCGGTGAAGCCTAGGAAAGTAATAAATTGGATAGCATTAGTCAAGCACGAAGGTAGAACAAAATTAAAAATAAGATTCTCGTTAATTTCAAACTTTTACTACAGATTTCTGATCAGTATTTGTGAGATTTGTTGGAGAACTGCAATGAAGACGGACGAACAAATTAAAACCAGTGGTCTATTCGGAAGCCTCACATCCATCAAAACTTAACAACTTTTATTCAGATGACGACTTTTGAAAACGGAAACTGTATGAAATAAAATCATAGTGTATTTTGGTCAAAGGATGACACTCATTTTTAAGTTTATTATTTTATTATTATTTTTATTATAGTCACTTTAACACTCTTGGGTCATTTGTGACTTGTCCGGGGGTGAGATTTGAACTCGTGACTTTGGCGTGAGAGGTATGGATGTTAACCACTATGCCGGGGTCGCCCCTCCATTTTTAAGTTGATTTAGGGGAATGTAAAAAAAAATGATGGCTATAAAAATATTCATTATGAACTAAATTACACGTAAGATAATGAACTTAATTGTAAAATTCAATATGATATCAGACGTTATTCAATTGCAGG